TGTGTGTGTGTGTGTGTGTGTGTGCGCGCGTGTGTGTGTGTGTAGGAAGATGCTGAGGATCTGTGGAGAGACACAAGACAGACTCGCTCAAGAACTTCTGCTGTTTGAGCTCCAGATCGAGCGAGACGTCGCTGAGCCACTCTACACTCTCGCTGAGGTGTGTTTGTTTATAACACTGAACTGAAATTAACTAGCTCTTTCACAAGAATTAACAGCAATCACATTTCATTTTCATTTTTTATGGCCTACCTTATACAGTATACTGTAATTCTGATCCACAGTAAATAATGTAGTGAAGTAATGTAAATAACACAACAGATAGTAGTGGTCCTGGATGCTGATTGATTGATCCAGTATTTCAAATATTTACTTTAAGATATTTCAGTTATTTAACAACACATTCATGCAGGTAAACAAATCAAATATTTCATATTTTTTGGAAGTGTCTCAATTTGTTTTGTTTTTTATTTGAAAATTATTTATTTACTTGTTTGTTTATTTTATATAAATAAACAATTATTTATTTATTCACAAATAAATAATAAAATTATATATAAATTATATTTTTATTACTATAATCAAAAATATAAATTTATTCATTTTTTAAAATATTTAATTTAATTTATTTACAATTTTCCCCCATTAACCCCAGTTTTGGAAACCCTGTGCCTGTGCTTGAGTCAAAATATTGTGTTACATTTGCATAAATGTTTTGTAAAAGCAATAAAACTGACATTTTTCTGTTTCTATGTCTATATTTATTTATTTACTGTTTCTCAAAGGTTGAAATTCCCAACATTCAGAAGCAAAGAAAACATTTAGCCAAACTCGTACTGGACATGGATTCTGCTCGCACACGGTGAGAAACACACATGCGTTTAAACAAGGACATATTATTATAATTGCAAACTAAACTTGAATAAAATGTATTAACCATTGGCAGTCTGATCAGATGAGATGTTCAGAATGCTGACTGATGTTACTGCTGGTTTAGTCAAGTTGCATTGTGGGATACAGTATCTCATGCAGTGTGATGGGTGGTATACTGCACATCTAGTAGGGGATTTAGTAGGCAGATGTGTTTTTATTACGCCATTCTCTCCTCCCAACCTCCAGGTGGCACCAGTCGTCCAAATCCTCAACTCTGACTAATAAGGAAACGCCTACTGGGGCCAAAGCCGACGCCCTCAGGGAGGAGATGGAGGAGGCAGCCAATCGGATGGAGATCTGTAGAGTGGGTGGAGCTTATCAGACTCTCTATTATTTCATGCATGGACAGGTGTCAAACTGCACCGTATTCATAATGCATGCTGTAAAAATGCAGCACCGAAGCATCATGTTTAATGTCAATGTTTTTCAGGATCAGCTCTCGGCAGACATGTATAGTTTCGTGGCCAAAGAAATTGACTATGCAAACTACTTCCAGACGGTGAGTGTGTTGCTCATTCAGACGAACAGCCTGCCTTTTTATCGTAAACATCTTTCTGTCGCTCTGTTCAGCTGATCGAGGTTCAGGCCGAGTACCACAAGAAGTCTTTGGAGCTGCTCCAGAACGTTCTGCCACAGATTAAAGCGCAACAGGGTGAGAATCACGAATGAACATCAGAAACAGGAACTGAATAAACCTGGAAACACCAGCAGTTTTTAGTCTTACAAATGACATCGTATTTCTCTCAGTTTAATATTATATATTAACTAATGATATATTATTTAATCATATATTATTATGAAATGTAATTATATATTATTATGAAATGATATAATATATTATTATATATTAACTAATTATATATTATTTAATGTCATATACGTTAATAATATAATATAATTTAATTTAATATTATATCATATCTTAATATTTTAATAATTTTGTAATATTTTAATA